CTGCCTCCCCAGCTGCTCCCACCACCTCCCCACCTGCTCTGACCGCCTCCCCAGCCACTCTGACTGCCTCCTCAGCTGCTCCAGCCTCCTCCCAGCCTCTCTAGCCTGTTCCCCAGCTGCTCCCACCACCTTCCCAGCCTCACCAACCCCCTCCCCAGCCCCTTCCACCACCTCCCAGCCGCTCTGACCACCAGCAAGGGGGATGCTGCCCGGAGAGCAGCCCATGACGTTTCCTCTGCGAATGGCCCCGGACTTCAGGTGAGCTGGGGCAGCACAGGCACTCCAGGCAGTGCCGGGGCTGCGGGGGAGACCGTGAGGCTGTTCAGCGTGAGGGTTTAGCAGATCAGATGCTAGACCGTCTCTTGGATCCATCCAGCTTTACTGAGAGCTGGGGTTAAGCCAAAGGAGAAATAAGAAATTAATGTAGCAGTCCTAGGCAGTGCAGCTGGGCAGGAATCACCCGAGGACGGCAGTTGCTCCTTGGCTGGAGTGTCATTGCCCAAAGCCTGAGCCAGCAGCAAGGGCTGGTCCAGTGGCTTTGTGCTGCTTCTGTTGCTTTGGATAAAATATGTTTTTCTCTGCTTAAGGGGTAAAAGATTACCCCTCGCAGGCTGTTCATTTAGAGGTGCTCTGGCAGTGACACAGCTGTAGGGAAGAGTTTGGGGGTGCTTTATGAAAAAACACATTTTTTATTATTTTTGTGAAAGAGCACTTGCCTGCTTGCTGAAACTGGTCTTGAGTTGGCCCAGACTTAACCTCAATCCATTTGAAATTGCACTAATTTGGCCTTTGCTTTGTGGTCTGCTGGGAGGTAAGCACTGATTCCAACATTGTAGCTGGGGAACACCTTTACCTATGCCTGTCAAACACAGGCGAGTAGTGCTCAAATAGCTTTATGCAACCTTCTCTGAAAGATATTCCTTGATAAAGGACCCCTCATCATCCTCCATGTTCCCATTCGCATATTTGGTAGCATCTTCTTCCCAGGAGACCTGTCTCAGGCTGCCCTGCAGTGGGGCTGCACTGGTGGTACTGGGACTCCCAGGAGACCACCTCTCATGGCAGGACCTGAGGGCAGCTGGGGGCTAAGAGGGGAGAGATTACGGGGGCAGTTGCAGCAAGCTGCACCAGCAGCAGGTGGGAGGATGGTGGTAGGACTTGCAAGCAACGTCAGTTGCAGTTTGATGATGAAATGAGATGTTCTGAATCTCATTTTGCACTGTCCTGATAGCCACGATAACAGTGCTTGCTTTACCCATCTGCTTCTTGGCTCCCGGTGTTTATCCTGCAGGTCTCCATCCTTCCAGCAGAGGAGTCATGAACCGTGTTTCAAGGTGACTCCCTGGAGCTGCAATTCCCATTCCCAGGTGGATCCAGGGCTACATCCAGGGGAGCCTCAAGAGGTCCTGCCTCTCCCACTCTGCTGGGCTGCCACCAGCTTGAGGGCATTTTCTCCCCACGCTTTCCTAACTGCGTGGATGTGGAGGTGGTGCCCGAAGCCCCAGGGCCAGCAGTGACTCAGGGGCTGCTCGGGAAGCCTCCGTCCCCTCCCAGGCCTTAATGCCCTAATTATTTTCTCCTTGGGAGATTAACCAGAGCTTTTATTCACCAGAGCAATTAGTCCTTCTCCTTCACTCCTGTGCTTTCCTTAAGAAGATTTGTCGGGCTAATATGCTGGTCCTGTGAACAAGCCTGTTTTTAACAACCAAATAATAACTTTTATCAGAGAATAGGGTTGTCTAAGATGAGGGGTGGCCTGACCCATCTCTGAGCCCTGCTGGGAGCTTTTGCTCCCTGTGACGTT